ACTAAGGACATACAAGATACTTATTGTAGGAACTGGTCTGTAGTAGTGTTGTTCTTTGTTCTTGATGCACTTGAGAATTGAATGCTTGACAGATGAATGATTGGAGTGCTTGAATTAATTCTCAAGTGTTCAAGTGATGTTTTTTTGTAATACTCTTGTTAATACAACTTGGATGACATTACTTGAATGATGTAATCACTTGGTTGGTTAAAGGGGAGTGTCTGCAGTACTATGCTGCACTGTACAGTGCAGGTAGTCACTTTCCAGCTGTAAGCAGTTGACCTCGTAACATTAGCTCGAGTCCGTTGATTGAGTTGTGTACCAAGTGTGACAGGTCCCTTATTTGGTTCTTTGACAGTAAGTTTGTTAGATCATCAAAACATAAAGCTAAGGTACTATAAGCCCATTAATACCTAATAATCAGGTTACAAAGACAATCACTGAAATTCTTGGCCGGTTGTATAGTGCACCCTATCCGAGTTGGAGTGACTTTCCACGGGATCTCATGCAATAAATGTTCAACGAATTTAAGGTTTTAATATAATTCTTATCTATTTAAGCATTATATTAACAATATTTTCATCTAACATTACATACTTTATTTGCAGACTAAGTGTGCATGGGAGGACCGGTATAACAGTGAAGTTTGTGCAAATTGGGAGTACAAATGCCGTAAGAGAGTATCTGATTCCTTCTGCTCCGCTCGAAAGATTAACAAGAAGCCTTCACGGGTTATACCATATTTATGGGAGGATCTACAGAGGTATTGGACCACCAAGAAATTCGAGAAGCAGAGTGAACTGGGAAAGAAGGCCCGGACATCTGAGAAGGGTGGCTCCTTGCACTGTGTAGGGGTGCTTATCGGGCGGATTGGGCGGATAATTGCGCTTAACGGTTCAGCTTATCAGTTATCGGATTATATATGCGGTAATCCACTAGCCATTCAATAAGACAACGGGCGGATTGATATCGGATTAACGATTATCGGGTGGTTTATCAGCTAAACCAAATTTAAAAAAAAATTGAACAATCCTTGTCTTGTGAATACCAAACGGCCAAACTGCATAGCTCACTGGCTTTTATCATTTCAACTATCCATTCATAATTCTCAGTACATTACTCTATGAAGACTTGTCATGGAGTATACAGAATAATCTCTGGAACAAATTTTTGAATACTCTTAATAAAAATATGGGTGCTTCTGTTGGTGGTTGTGACAATAAAGACAAAGTTGATTATGATACAAAGACCAAAACTTATGCTGCGGTCGTGGCACAGTGGCAAACTCGCTAATATTATACTCTGCCTCATTGCCCTCTTTATCAAGTTAGAGACTCCTATGATCATCAACTCGGTTGTTCTATTATGTAAACACAAATGCGGATTATATTATCATATTGTGAACATGCAGTATGTAGTATTTGAGCTACTAGATCTGCACAATTGATGATGCCGAAATGTCACAGCTGAGTAGCACTTGAATTTGAAACTCTTGAACACTGCGAGAAAGATATGGGGCTCACCCGTGAAGGCTAAATATAAAAAATACGGGTTAACGGTTTATCCGATAAGAAAATTGAGTAATTCGCCCCCAAATTGTTAAGCTGTTGATTATAAAATCTCAATCCGTTCACCATCAATTACCCCGATAAACCGATACCAATAATCCAATAAGCTATCGGTTTGGTTAACAGTTATGGTTCGGTTTTGAACAGCCCTAGCACTGTATGGGTGCAAGGAGCATGGGGGCTACGAGGAGACTACTGGTAATTCCTTAAAATATTTACATCTGTTTTTATCGAACTATATTTATATATGTTAATTTAGTTAACACATTTTTTTTATATTTGTAGGAAAAAAAATATGTGAGGAACATGACTCATGATGAGTTCTTCATGGAGACTCACATCCGGAAGAAGAAGGTACCGAAAGATCCAAGTAGATGGGTCGAGGACCGGGCGGAGACTGCATATGTAAGTTTCATAACTACTATACATATTTATAATATTATATAGTTAATAATTTTCTATCTTCTAAATAAAGGGTCGCTACAAGATTAATGTGGAGGAGTACACTCAGAACATGCCACCGAATGAGCAAGGCGAGCGACCACACCTTTCAGACGAAGAAGCACAGAGGATATGGTTGGATGTTGTCGGTGGTCCTAAAAAAGGGATAGCATACGGCCTTCCAGAGAAATCATTTCGGCGCTACAGGGCTGGATTGCAAGGTATAGGGACTTCCGCCCAAGGCGAGGTAATTGATAGATCGACTATCTCGTCTATGGAAGAGAGGATCGCAAAGCTGACAGCAGAGCTTGAAGAGATAAAGGCTAGAGAACAAAAGAGAGGTGAAAAATTTGGTACCCTTCAAGTTTAGCTAGAAAGGAGGGACCAACAATTTAATCCCCTTCAAGGTCAGCTGACCAATCTTCTTGCTAGTGGTGCTTTCCCCATTCCCCGGTCTCGTGAGCCTTCCCCATGTGCTAATCCTTCTCGTCGTGATCCTTCGAACCATGCCGACGATGAAATTTCTAGGAGTGAAGATGGAGATGATGTTATATAAAACACTCATTGAATGGTGTGCATTACTAATTAGAGTATTGAACTTGACTATTTTTTAGTTGAGATTAGTTTTGAATGACGATGTATTGTTGATATTATTTTGTTATTGAACACTTGTACAGTTGTTGTTGTGGTTATTATTAGTTGTTGTTATTGTTAGATAATGGTTGTTCGTATTAGTTTATTATTTTTGTTAGTTAATTATTGTTGTTGTTGTTAGTTAGTTAATTGTTGTTGATTAGTTATGGTTGAATGGCAGCAATGTAATGCTGCCATTATAGGATGGATATTGGTTGTAATTGGCAGGTGATGTAGCTTAAAAACAAATATTTTTTTGCCCAGTTTTTACCCAGATTTCTGACCAAAATCGGTCGGAAACTACAATTTATTGCAGAAATTCATAATTTCCGACCGAATTCGATCAAAAATTATGAATTTATATTTATTTTTTTAAATGAATTAATAATTTGTTATAATTTACAACTAATTATTTATTTAAATAAAATTATTATTTTTTTAAAATTCCGATCGATTTCGGTCGGTATTTGAAAATTAAAAAAAAAATTAGTGGTTACCGATCGAATTCGATCGGAATTTGAAGGTTGACAGTCAGTCAACGCTTTGCTTCGATCGATACACGTTAGCGACCATCATTTTTCCGACCAATTCAAAACGGTCAGAAATCGGTCGATTTTTATCAATTTCCGACCGATTTCGGTCGGTTTTGGTGGACGAAATTACACAGTTTTTTAGTAGTGATATTTGCATTAATTTTTTCGTTACTAATTTCATTTATTATGTGTACCCAAAACTTAAGCTCGTATAGCTCGCAGAACTATTTCTTGCATAACCACACTGTCACACTCTAAACTAAGGCCACAAACTCAACAATGTAGATGAATATATGATTACTTTCCTTCAAAACAAAAAAAATAGAAACCAATTACAAGCAGGGGCGGAAAAGGTTCACTGGAACCCCCTTCTTAGAAAATTACATTATATATATAAGGAAAAAATTTGCTTTGTATCTCTATATGTTATATTTTGAATCCCCTTGCCAAAATCCAAGAACATAGCTCGGTGATCAAGGTGGTTCAAAGCCTTTGTAATTAGGGATGCAAGGGGCGACACGAGTGCGGGGCGAGTTTGATCTTATGCGAGGCGGGGCGGGACAGGTGCAGGGTGGCTTGAAATCGATTTTTCAAAATCTAATACCGGGCCAGGCGATTGCGGGTTTCCTTGCGAGTTTACTCTGTGAAATCACTATAGATTGTACAAATAAGGCACTAAGTCAAGTAATAAATATAGAATGGCGGGAGTATATGACTATGCAATTATTACTATTGACTATACAAGACATTCACCTATACGTGCCAAGGACCTTGTCCAGTGTCTACTACTGCTATATCATATTTCATTTAAGTATCAGCACACATATATGAACTTACATATATATATATATATGGTGCATATTTGTTATATAGAAATTTATCAAGTACAAGTTAATATGTAAATTTAGGTATACGATATGTTGATGTTCCGCATTCATTTCCAACTTTTACGCGTTTCAATTCAGTTATATTTTCTATTATAATTTTTGAAAATAAAACTATAATTGTTGGATCCATATGAGGGATTTAAGAAACTGAAAAAAATAAAATACGTAGGCCCCGTTTGGCCATGAATTTTGCCAAAATAAATTTGGGATTTATTTTCAAAACTCATGTCTTGCCATAAATTTTGCCCATATTTTGGCCAAATTCCAAATCCCAAATTTCAAATCCCAAAATCAGGTATTGAGCTGATTTTGGGCCAAAATCTCAAAACTTGGGAATTATATACATATTTTTTCAAAATAAAGTTGGAAAATATGTTTTGAAAACGTATGTCCAAACATATTTTCATCTTCAAACCAAATTTCATCCAAATCAGATTTTTCAAAATAAATTTGGGATCTATAGCCAAACGCTAGCGTAAACTTATGTGTTTTCAGGAAAAATAACAAAATGAAAAAAAATATATTGCGGGCCAGGCCGGGTCTTTGGGGACAGGGCATGTTGAAATTTTTCGGGTTAAGATCAAACCCGCCTCGCCCCCGCCGCACCCCATTGCCATTCCTATGTGTGGTTGCTGGGTTGGCCACAGTCCCTTCTAATTTTTTTTAATTTTTTTCTTTTTTGAACTCCCTTAACAGAAATACTGTCTCCGTCACTGATTACAAGATATACTATACTATACTATATCTCAAAATCTTTAATATTAAGAGATGAATAAGGTTTGTTTAGTTTTTTAAACCAGAATGATTGAAGATAAAGGGTCCATAATCATTCCATAACAGTAATCAAATGGCCCTTCATTAGTTTAGTGAGAAAGAAAGAGCCCCATCCCAATATAATAAGGAACCACTCCTGGATTTCCAGTGGATATCATAATGAGTGTACGTTACTTTCTCCCAAAAAAAATAGAGCTTTTAAAATTTCAAAAAACTGGATCACCCCACAGCTCAGATTCCTAAGTTTCCAACCTATATACTATCTTTCTAAAGCCTCTTTCCCCTAATTCCCTCTCAAATTTATAAAAGCCTCTTTTCCTCTGCTTTCTATACATTTTACAAGTATATAACAACAAAACTAGACGGCGCCGGCACTATCACGCCGCCGATTATCTTCTCCTAAGGGAAGAGAAAAAGAAAGAAAACCCATAATTCTCTTTCTTCTACCTACTTACATATCTGAATTTAATTGTCAAAAATTCAGAATTTGCTCTATAATGTGGCTGCTTTTTGTTTTTTAGCTATGGTCGCAGAGTAAAAGAGTGATAGGAAAAGAAAAAGAATTGTTGGTTCTGTCCAAAGATGCTGTGCAGAAAGAATTCAGTTAGATGTGGGCGTGGAACAGTGCCAGTGTATCTAAATGTGTACGATCTCACTTCCATTAATGGTTATGCTTATTGGCTTGGTCTTGGTGTTTACCATTCTGGTGTTCAAGGTCAGCAATAACTCAGTCTTTTTTTAACATTTTGTAGTGCTTTAAATTATCAGATCTAGGCATATTTAGGTAGCTTGATTATATGAAAAGCAAGAAATTTTCTTAATTAATTTTGTAATTTCTTTGTTAGTTCACGGCGTAGAGTATGCATTTGGAGCTCATGAGTATCCAACAACAGGGATATTTGAAGGAGAACCAAAACAGTGCGAGGGATTTACGTTTAGGAAAGCAATTCTGATTGGATGGACAGAGATGACTCATAGAGAAGTGAGGGGAGTAATGGAAGAGCTTGCTGAGAAATACAGAGGAAATGCTTACAACCTTATAACTAAGAATTGTAACCATTTCTGTAATGATGCTTGTCTTAAACTTACAGACAATCCTATCCCCAGTTGGGTAAATCGACTTGCACGCATCGGTAAGTCTCTTAATCAATCAATTAATTAACTATGAGTCGGCTATATGAATCATCTAATTGGTGGTGCACAATTCATATTCAAAACAGTCAGGACTCTTTTGGTACGAGGGATAAGGGATATTAATCCCGAAATAAATTTGAGATGAGTTTATCCCATGTTTGGCTGAGATAAAATCGTAGTATAACCAATTCAAGAATTAGCTATCCCAGGATTGTAGTGTGTTTTTAATCCCAATGGAAGGGCGGGATAACTAATCCCGAGATAATTAATCATAGAATAACTTATTTCCTAACCAAACGACCCCTCATGATTAACTATGTTTACTATTGGTTGTTGACTTACGCAATCCAAAGTAATGGTTCTTAATATGTTACTCCTACTTAATATGTAATTATACTATAATTTCTTGTCACTTTATGGAGCAATAAATTTTCTGTCCTCATTGGAATATTTTTATTTTCTCATGATGTTGCTGAATTAGGAAGTTTATTTAGTATCAATGCACGAAACATCCCGCGTTTATGTAGGGTCGGGGAAGGGCCGCACTTCAATGGGTGTGATGTAGATTGCCTAACCTGCTGCAAACAAAGATTTCACGGTTCGAACCCGTAACCTATAGGTCACACAACTGAAATATCTTTATTGATTAATCAGCTTTTCACTCTAGAAATCGCTTAATACTACGTAGGAAATTTATGGGGCCCGGATGTGGCCTGATAGCTACTCAAAGTCGTAGAGTGTAGTAAACGTCCTATTCCCTGATTGAAAAGCTAGTTCTGAACTATAGGAATTTGCTTATCCAAGAACTTTCCTTGATATGGTTTGATGTGATTAAAATATTGTTCTGATTCTTTTCAAATTTGGTCGGTTCCTGTTTTCTGTTACCATACGTCAATGTTTTTTGAATAGAGAATTAATTGCGTCTTATTTGTGTAGGTTTATTTTGCAATTGCATTATTCCAGTGAGCTTGAACTCGACCAAAGTTGGCCACCATCGGATTGCAGACAAAGCATGTGATGAAGGGGAGAAGAAGAAACTTAGAAGCCGCTCTAATAGACTGCCTCCATCGACGGATTCTTCTCCATCTTCGGAGGAGAAGTCGTGTTCTCCGCCGCTTATCAAAAGTAGAAGCAACAGAAGCCGAAGTCCAGTGCCTTCATCTTCAGCCTTGATATCCACTTCAACATAGGTTTCTTGATAATGAAGGCCACTCCACATGATTTGTTCTGTTCTACATTTATTCTTTTGCTCTCCACTTTACTTCATAAAGCAAACAACTCTTGAAATTTCTGTACATGAATGATTTCTATTAAATTGGTGACAGCTTCCTTGCATCACGACTCAATGCAATAGGTAGCTGCATCAACATTAAATTTGAGTCTTAAAAGGCAATTATAAGATTTTATTAGAATATAAGTAGTTCCGCCATCCTCCTGATTTTGCAGTATGTTGGATAACATGTTCAGACCAAGCAATACTTCAAGACCAAGAGGTCCTAATTTGGTTTAAAACTATAACAAAAAAAACCGTAGTACAATGGGGACTAGGAATCTGCTGTGCTTTTCCTTTTGAGAATAAGTTGCCTTTTTGCAGCTTTCGGCATCAAAAGGCCTCCTTTTTCCTCTAGTTTTACCAAATACCAAACCCCTCACAAATTTGTCTACCAATCTTTTATTCTTGTGCGCCATTTCTATTTTCTTGTCTTAAAAGTCTAATGTTATACCTGAAATTGGACCCACAATCTTACCAACCTATCATATTTCCCAAGTCATAACACTATCTTCTAGCTCTCTCAAACCTACCATGGAATATGTCAACATGGTAGCCTTGCGGTAATACAGATTGAATTCGTTGTTACACCAAATTCACACTTATAAAAGGTAGGAAAAAAAAATCCTTACGGATAACCAATCAGAGTAACTATCTATATATTCATGTTGAATAAGAGTAGTTATATGAAGAATAGCTCCACTTACCATTCCATATCTTATCTTACCATACAAGTCGGGGAAAGGGAAGGGGGAACAGAGGGGGAATATAAAGGAAAGAAAAAAACATTTCCACACAATAGTATGCGTAGCTTGAGGTGCGGCTTGAACGACTCCTGCACAGGGAGATATTTTTATTATCAGCAAACGACTCCCGAACAAATTTCAGAATTCAATCACTAGTTGGAAACAGAAAACCTACTTCGCATTAATGAATAATATTTGGCGCACACAGTAACATGCCCAACAATGGTGTTCTTAGCCCTGCTTTGCTCTCAATGACTCGACAAAGTTATCCAGGATCAGTGGCCAGGCAAGGAAGGGGTCATAATTGCTCAAGTCTGGAAAGCTAATCTGTTACACGAAAACATTAAGATAGGAAATAAGAGTTTAATCTTAACACTGAGTCATCAAAGTCGCCACAAGGCTTCTGATGCATGATGCAAAACTGTCAGATGACAACCTGATTGCTCATACTAGGTGATGACACAAATAGGATAACTAAAACAGATTGACAAAGTGAAAGTGAACTGAAGATTTACCTCATTAACAAACCTATAAAATCCCATCCATTGATCCATGTTTATAACTTTGTAATCAGTCTGCGTCTGCACCAGTAACCAAGCACATAAGCATACTCCTAATTACTAGAAGTTAGAAAGATTCCTCTGATCTTCAAAGCTGCTGAAGGTTCTTCTTCAATAAATATGAAGCAATGACTAAAAAACGCAAGATTTTCAACAGAAAAGTCTCCTTTTACAAGGGAAGTGATTAAGTATCCAAAATAAAAGGAGCTATAGATAGAAGCTTCAGGGTTCCCGGTCAAACAAATGGTTTCCACTCTAGAAGGAGCTCCAGAACATAAATGATTAGCAGTAAATTATATCATTCAAAAGCACCCTAAGGGCATTATCAGAGGCCGATTATAAATAGCAAGTGGAGCACGGTGCAACTCACCTTCAAATACTGAATAAGGGCGTCAACTTGGGGTCGAAATTCAGACCCTAAAACGAGATCAAGCAGGAGACAAATGCTCTCGACGTCTATGCTCTTCTGCTTCTCCTCTAGAAAAGAGGTAAGAAAAAGAGAAAACCGGTAATCAGAAGAAAGAAGACACAGTTCAAATATGCAATTTACCTTCTGCTACAAAAATAAAATTTTTCTATTATAAATGCATTGTAATAGGGAAACAAAATCAAAATGCAGCATAACAGAACAACTTATTCTTTCCAAGCTCCAAAGCCTTATATTTGATTATATATTTTCATATCAATATTTTATAAAAGTATTCTGTACTTTTTCATCTTTGTTTCTTTTTCAGTCTAAAGCTGATCAATGAATCTTTCCTTCAAGAATTAACAAAACTTGATGTTACACAACATGTGACAGAGGAAGCACCATACCTGTCAAGCAATACTGAAACGCATAGGAGTAGAACTCCACAAAATTTGATGGCCTTCTGACCTTTTAAAGAAAGGAAAATGTGGATCTTAGTGGAACAGAACAGCAATCCGTCTCACAGCAGAAGGGCACCAAAAATTTCACATAGCATGAGCTGAAGTTCAAATATAATTAGGTACCTCCTTCTCAAGTTCTGGAAGTGCTTTCTTCAATTTCTGTGCTGTGTCAGCTCTTAATGCTTTGAGGCCCCTCCGCCACTCATCCTAGTAGTCAAAGCAATGGTGAGTCAATAAGAAGCATACAAGCAAATATAAGCAAAGAAAGCTATCAAACCGACAAAAAGCCCAGCAACTACATACCATAACAAAATGGTTAATGGGTTCTTATCATTATTTTGGATTTGTGGAAGAGGGAGCGGGAATATTTGTTAATCTTCCTAGAATCAAACAAGACAATCTACACTATGACCAAAAAGAATAATTGTCCCTAGAAAAACCTGATATACATATTTCTTGCATTTTACTAAGTGATAGGCTTATAAGTGCTCACTATTTTACAAATGCTCACTACCCTTACTAGTTTGGCACAAATTGATCCTCCATTAAACTTTGGTGCAAACTAAAACTAATTGGACTAGCAATAAGCCAAGCATACATTTTTCTAATGAAATGACCCCAGCGTACTCATAGTAAAACGTTGAGGTACAGTCAAGAAACCGTTAAGTCACATTAGAGCATCAAATAAATGCATGGCTTTCAATACTGTAGCAGACAACACTAATATCTCAACAAAAAGTCTAAACACCTTATGTAGTACCCAATTGATGTGGCAGATAATGCATACAATAGAATAATCATATACAATTAGGTTTCCTACAATAAACAGCTATTATTTCCGTATCTCCAACTTCCTTCCAGAAGATGCTGCAGAATTATTACTCAATGAATGTAGCTTCTAGACCTCACTGGACACTGATCATAAACTTCCAAAACTTAAGCCCAGGGATGAATTCTTTAAAAAAAGACTCTCTAGGCGCATGGCAAATATTCCTTTCTTTAGATTACGTGTCATCCGGACAAAAGACTATTCTACAAGTATGAACATGTTCAAATGGGCATATCTAAGACACAGGTGGCAAAAGCATAATTCAATAATCCAATTGAATAATCATCCTGACCAAACAGACAAAAAGATGCACACCAATTGCTCCATTTAGCTTTGCTAATTTTGCAGGGACTGGCTTGCCTGGGGAAAAACACTGCAAGACTGTCATCCTGCAGAGTCAGTGCCTATTTCCTATGTTCTTACTCTATTTACCAACGCGCAGGTTAAGAGTAGTTAAGCATTTAAGAGAAACTGAGACTTCGATCAATCCTCTTCAGCACCCTTTTCACGGGAGTACCCTTTGGCACAAACTCCCTAAGATAACAAAGTACATTTATATGCCTGGAAAAGAAAGAACCCAGCCTTAATTTAAGAACTACAGTATTTGAGATAAACAGACATAACAGATGAGTTTAATTTTCCAAGTATAGACACAATAGACAATCTTGCAAGGAAGAAACAAAAGCTACCCGTGAAAGATTGAGGAAGATGATTGAAACATCAAAAGCAGTGCAGTACATACTGCAATGCTAAAGTAATATTAGTAGTAGCCAAACAAATACATACCAGTAAAAAGTATCCTTGTTTTTCAGACTGCATCTTCCTATAATTCAAAGTTATTGTTATTAAACCTCTGAAGATGTAGGATACTTCATATACTAACAAGTAACAGAGTATAAGGGATCTCACCATGCAAGCATCAATATCCTGACGTCGGTATGTTCGACTTCCAAATCAGAACAAAGAAACTCAATTCCTTCCGGGCTAACCATGAAAAATATGAAGTGTATTAATCAAGTGCAAAACAGAGGAACTTAAACAAGCTGGTGAAACTGCCGTAGTTGGGTGGAAAAGTTGAACGATAATATCCATACTTTTTCTTCTTTGTTTTTCCAAGCATAACTTTCTTGCTTCAAAATATAAGATTTCTTCCAGGAAAAGATGGATATTAGAAGCACAAATAACAGAACGTACTTGTAATGCTAGGAAATTACAGAACATGGATTACACCGATACAAAAGAAAAAGGGTAATGCATACTTACTCAATCATACCAGACGAAGTATTGGCATATGTATGAAAGAATTGATCGATACGTTCCAATTCCTTATTTGCTGCTTTACTTGAAGCTGAAGCAATGAAAACGAAGTGAGATACTGTTGTATTGCAGCTATACTGCATACGTTATATTCTACCCATAACACATAATGACCCAAAAAAAAGAAAAAGTGTCCAAAGAGGTCTGAATGCATTAATAGAGTAGTTCTCAAGCACCTATGACATAAAGTTCAGCAGATACAAATCAAATGGGACATAATTTCCGAGACAACAAATCCACATTCAATACTCCCAAAAATTCCGAGAATAACATCTCACAAAGCCATACCCAAACACTCACAAAAATCAAAAACAAAAAAAGGACTAAAACCTAACAACACCAACCACATTAGCATCAAAGCCTACACCAACTGGATACTCCGCAATGGCAAGTGGATGATACCCTGGGATGACCTTAAAGATAACGTGTTTCCTTTTATGTTGGGCACAGGAGGAAGAGGGTTAAAGACTTAAAGGTAAACCAGTGAAAATTTAAAGCACTACAGAATACAGGAAAAACTAAAACTCCTAACCTATAGTGCCTTCTTCTTTGAGTGTGTGGACTGTGGTTTGGTGGGGGGGGGGGGGGGGGGGGGCTTGACAGTGACACTATTCTGCCCCGGTGGTCATAGCTACCTATAGTTTGTATCTTGACCAGATTGTTGCAACAAGTACTTACACCATCTCCTTACTACCACTAATTCAAGAATTATCATCTCTACTCAAACAACATTCCAGAAAAACTTTAATCAGATAGGTGGCAATCAAATCCCACATGCGGCTCACAA